TCTGCGGGCACAATCATACCTGCCTTGGAAAACACATGAAGATTTTCAAGTGCACGAATTGCAAAAAAAAAAAAAAAAAAAAAAAAAAATATATATATATATATATATATATTTTATCAATTAGATTTAAGGGATTAAGGGACCCAAGCTTTTTTTCAGCTCTGCATCTTTTGGGACTTCTTAAAACAATGAGTTCTGCTTTATTGCCTGTTTTATAGATGGATGGCTCTAGGAACACATGTTTAGAGGCATTAATTGTAACTTTGTTCACTAGGAAGTTTCTTTCTACCATCTGGCAAGAAATCCCTCGTTTTCATGACAACCGAAAGAAAAGCAAGTGACCATGCATGAGAGTGAAAAGAATCCGGTTTAGAATGTGAATAGGGGTACAAATTACCAAGCATAAACACATACTCAAGTAACTGGCTGTTTGCAAACTAATTGGTTTTTCTAACTGCGGTTATACACAGCCAAAAAAGACAAAAAAGAACAGAAGTGAGGAAAGGAGGAGCCCTGACCGCTTATTTCTTTTCAGCAGAAATAGATCATCTGAGCTGTCTTAATAAAAGGTGCATTGTCTTCCTGAGCTGACGGTAGGTTTTATAGTTTCAACTCCACTTTCCTCTTTTTGTCCAATATGAAACTGCTCAGCAGAGGAGTTTTGAAGGATTTAGAGAATTGCCTGGTGGTACTGAGCCGGTGACAGAGTGGACAAACTTGTCATCATTGGGCAACCTCTCCCCGGAGCCCCAAAGTTACCGCTTGTAAGAAATGCAGCCTTGCAGCTGCTGAACAAGCATTCTGCGCCCACATGTCTGTGTAGACTATATATAAACAAATTCAGAAACGGCAGAAGAATGTATTTAAAATAGGCTTTTGCAGTGTAATTTTCAAAAAGCTTGCAGAATGATTTTTGTGTATTGGCAGGCAACCTCAGCAATAGACTAGGTACTTTTTGTACTCTCTCTCTTTTAGGACTCAGAATACTCTCAGTAGCAGGGAACTTCAGAACTGGTCTAGAAATGCAGGAGGCAGTATCAACCCACCTGCAGAATATGTGTAGAATACAGAGTACCTAATGTTACTCAAAACCTTTTTTAGGAAATGCATACAGGTATGGCAAAACTAGGACCTCTGGATCCACTTGTAGTAGCAACAGGTTTAACATTATATACTCTAATCACAATACTTAGCATAAAGCTGAGAACAACAAAAAGGTAAAACCACACAAAACATTTTTTAAAAATACCCTTTTTATTTTCTTCATAGGGCTCAAATTATTCAGGCTATTTCCATATTCAAGTGGTTATTGAAAACGTTGTCGAAGCTATTAATTACATACCCAAATTAAGTAACTATATTAAGACTATTTTCAAAACAAAAAAATACCAAAAGACTAAGCATTTGAACATTTTTAAAGGTAAAACTTTACAGATTTATTTTTTAATACAAATCCATTTGTTGAAAATAAGGTAATTCAGAAGTGTCCCCCAACACCTGTTACTGCTTTCACGTAAATCACAGCTGTATGCTACGGTGAGGAAGGTGGCAGGAATTCAGTCAGAAAAGGCCTCGTTACTGGTTCCAGTGCTAATTGCAGAGAGGGGTAGAGGGGCCAGCGGGGCGCTCAGCGCCAGCCTCTCCCGTGGAGCGTGGGGCCGAGGCACAGCCAACAGCTCCTGTCAGTGAGGTGCGCTGCTCCAGCCGTGCTGTTCAAACCAGCTCGCCCGCAGGGCCCGTCTCGGTGTGGCTGGACCAGCTGCAAAGGCAGAGCGGAGCCTGCCCGGCTGCGCTGGGAGGGCAGGGCAGGCGTCTGCTGCCGCAGCACCCCAAAGCCAGGGCATTCCCCCTGCTAAAGGGGTGGCTCTGACTGCGAGTAATAGCTGGGAAACAGGACACGGCCGTTTGGGCTATTTCTAACCTGCTTGTACCGACAATTAAAAGCAAAGATATTAAATTACTTTGGGCTAGAAGCATTTGCAGGTGTAATCTGCGAGGCTGCGGTTTTGGGGGGTGCGGCCTGCAGGCGCACAGCCGGCACACGTTGCTGCCACCTCGGTGCCATCGGCCCCCGGGCTGCAATGCCACCTCCGCTTCAGCTTGTTGGGGGCTGCCCACGGGTGGTGGGTGGCTGAGCGAGACCCTGCTGTCACACCCAGAAAACACTGGCATTTCTCTGGGCCGCCAAGGCAGCCGTGGCAGGCACCTTGCCTGTGAGCGGCAAAGCGCGGCGAGGCAGATGCAACCCACTAGCCCGCATTTTTCTGAGGCAGGTGTAAACCTCACCTCTGCAGCCTCTGCCAGGGCAAAACCCACCTGCGGGGCAGTCCTCGCTGGACGGGCCTCTGCAGCCCCAGCGGCCTGCACCTGGCCGCGCAAGCCCCGCACCCCACGCTGGGCACCCACCACCAGCCCCCGCGCCTGCCGCTGCCCGGCCAGCGGCCCGGCCACCCCCGAGGGGCAGCGTCCCGGCGCCGGAGGGTCGGGGTGGCAGTGCGGGCAGTGCTGCAAGCACCGGCACCCTGCTCAGATGGGGTGCGGGGACGGGGTACGGTGGTGCAGGGCAGGGCGTCACAGCGCCTGCTGTGCCACGGCATGCGGCTTGTACGTAGTCCCACCCGTGCGTGCACCGCTGAGGTACTGGGGATGCCTACCGAAGCGGTGGGCATTTATTTATTCCCGGTACCGCCCCTCTTCTCACAAAACTCAAATCCTCACAGCCATTTACCTAAATGCAGTCATTTCCCTTCACATTTTTGTTTATACCAACAGAAAGGCACGCCTATATAGGTGTTTGTGAACACATTCATATGTGGGGGTTGGTTTAGGTTTGTTTTTTGAGTTTTTTTTCTTTTTTTCGGGCTTTTTTTTTTTTTTTGTTCCCCCTAAGCCCTCATTAACTCCACTCACGCTGTCTTACTCTGTTTGCCAGTGCTTAAGTAGTGCTTTTTTAAAAAAGCAACCAATTAGCACCTCATCAGCTCCAATTAGAGGAGACAAAAGCAGTGTAAAGATAACTCAATGAGAGGGGGTGGCACAACATCATGTAATCACTTAAGACAGGGCTGAGCATTCACTGTGCTGGCTGTGTTGGGCCTATTCACCTTTTTTTCTTCTCTCTGGATCCATTTAAAACTTTTTTTTTGGTTGGTTTTTTTTTTTTTTTGGTTGGGTTGGTTTTTTTTGTGTTTTTTTTTGTTTTTTTTTTTTTTTTTTTTATTGCTGGGAAGCCAGGCCTCCCAGGAGTCTCAGAGTCTCTCATTCAGGGCTACCTGTTTACAGCTCACCGAACAGAAGGACCTAAACAATCCTATATTGTACGCCTGGTGCTTCCTTAAACTTAGGCCTCCACAATGGCATGTTTTCAGAAGCTGGGCAGAATAACTTAAAGGCTGGCTTTATACTCATTAAGTGTTCTGCTTGTACTGTCTTCTAATTACATGGCAGGGCAACAATGTATTTTTTTTTTTTTTCAATGGAGTTCTTTGGAGCAGTTAATTTGGTGCCTGTACTAAATGCCCCAAAACATTAATTAGTGGGGAAGGAACCCTAATTTCCTCGGCGGCTTTCCTCTCCATTTACTTCCCTTGTTTTCACATAGGCTTGGATGAGCCTCTATAATGAAATTACCTCATTAATGCCTTTATTCTTGCAGAGTAACTCATTCAAGATCTACCATTTAGTTTTAATTTAATGCTGTCAAAAGCAAAAGGTGCATTCATGTCTTTGATTAGTGCATTTTTTTCTCTCTAAAGAGTGGACAGATTTAAATTATTAAGATGGCAAGTAGTGAGTTATAATTGGATACAAGCAGCACTTCAGTGAATATTAAATGCTTTCAAAGCCTGGCCTATGTGGTCTGCTGACTATTAACTGTGTCCAGTGAGTTATTCTGTGGGTTTTGAATTAACGGCACCTTAGCTACTGTGAAGCAAATTAAGTTTAATTTTGTTTATAAAAACCAGTGAAGTTGCGTTTATCAACATGACATTTAGTTGTAGCAGAGTTCAGTTTTCCCCATTATCCTATACTGACCTCATTGCTTGGTTTGTAATGCTAACGTAGAGTCTCATCCTGTAATTCGCAGTCATGCGAAGTCTAGCTGGAGGCTTGCCTCTGTATGGCTGGTAGGATAAAGCATTTTATTTGCAAGAACTACTGAGTTGTAAATATTGTCAAACAGAAACCACCTTAGCCACATTTAACCACACCGATTATTTGCTAGCAGCGTACAGCGGCACAAAGTATATCTACTATTAATGGTGAATGCGCAGTTATGTGCTGTTTTGAGACCAGCAACTGAGCAGGCAGGATTTAACATCCGATCCTTGATCTTTAATTCTCTTTCTTCTCCCTCCTTTCATTTACAACTCATGTCACAAAATATCTGAGATGCACTGGAGAAAGGTGCGTGTCAGAAAACTTAAGCAACCTCTGGTCTGCTTGGCATGTGAATCTTATAGCTTGTTGTGTGGCTGCAGTGATACCAGGGGTCAAAAATCTGTCACATACATGAGAACAGGACCTCTGCAAGGCTCTAGTGTAACCCTCTGCTCAAAGCAGGCACAGTCACATCAGTTTGCTCAAAACCTTGTCCAGTTGTCCAGGGCCTTTAAGTTTTGAGCATCTCCAAGGATGGAGAACTCACATCATCTCTGGACCCCTGTTCCAGTGTTTACCCACCTCCATAGTGATGTTTTCCTTACATCATTATAAGGAAATTACGATATTTTTAATGCAAGCATTAAATATCATATGATAATGTTTTGTACATAACATAAATTATAACACTATTATAGTGTTTTACATATATTTATTATAAATGTTTTATATATTCATTACATATGATACATGATACTTATGCAATATAACGTGCAATTATTGTATTATTACTTATTATACTATTTAAATATTACACTATAATTATTTTATATACATTTATTATAAGAGTCTGTAAGTTACCTTTCTCAGGTTACCTTTCCCTGTGTATGTATATTCAGGTCTCACCTTGTGTGGAGTGAGGATGTGGCTGGGATGGCTGTTGGTGACTGAGGAAAGACAGAAGGGAGGTGACAGGTAAGACCCCTGCGCTGCCATGCAAAAATTCCCTTCTGCTGCCACCCTTTGCAGCACTTTGGGACCAGCCTGTTTGGCCTTTTGGTTCAGATGGTGCATTGGCTACATCTGAACTCCAAAAGAAACAGTGCCAGGAACTGCCTTCTGCCATGAGTCCATGCAGCACACACTGGACATATTCCCATTATCGGACTTCTAACTCTGGGTTTCCACTAGGTTTCATGTGTGGACCATCTAGCCCCAAGACATGTAAGACATGGGGTTTTTTTTTGCACGTGTGCTTTTCCAATTCAGAGTGCCTGAGACAGAGCAAGTGCTGTAAGCTTAAAGAGTGTGTGTTGCCCGCTGCGCAGTGTGTAACACAGGGTGTATAATCTGGTTTGAAGAATAAAACCTGCAGAAGAAGGCTGCAAAGGGCTCAGGGAACCGGTTCTGATAGTCTCATCTGTCCTGTTCATTGTCAGTGATCCCCAGCGTGTGCTATTGCTCTGTGGTGCATCAAAGCCCTCTCATAAATTGCTACTTAGCAGGGGCCAAAACTGTGCTAGCACATGTGCTAGCAGTTACGCAGTGTGAGTGGCTGGGGTCCAAAAGCTGAGCTAGGTCTATGGCTTTGGCTTATTTTGCAGTAAGAACATGCCATAAAGTCCTGTTTCTGTTCTAGGTCAGCTAAGAATAGTGTGAGTGGCTTATGAAGAACTAGCTTAAGTCCATTCTCCAGATACTAAGCGTTTCTCTGTGATACATGAAGGTCCCGGGCCAGGGAGTTTTCTCAGTGTCATCTACGCTGTCAAATCTGGGCTTCTCCTAACACCCATCCAACAGCATTTTCCACCAGATCCCTGTTAGTCCAGTGACTGAAGCATATGCTCAAGAAGTGATAGCCAGTCCAATTCTCTCCTCATCTCCAGGAACTATGCACATTTCAAATTATCACACTATGTCTTTCTAGGAGAAAAGGGAAGGAATGCTTCTTGCTATTGACTTCTTTCCCTCTGAAACATGGCATTATGCAGAAAAAGAGTCAGAGAGAGCAGACAAGACCCTCAGTCTGGGAGCTAGAGCTGTGTTTGGTCTCTGCTCCAAGAACTGTCCCTGTATTTTATGCTTGTATGATTATTTAATAAAAGAATATAGTACTAGGAACAGAGACAAGGAACCAGCAGTCCCCTTACCAAGGTGAGTGTCCTTGCTGCAGGATACCATGGTCATAAGAGTCGCCTAAAGAGCTCAGTTTCTGCTCCTTCTACACTTGGGAGTATCAGATATGGAGAGCATCTAGGGAGCCTCTTCACCAGAAGAGCAAGTTGGTGAACCCAGGGGTAAAACTGAGTGGCTACAGATAGCAGCTCTATGAAAAACTGGGCTTAGTCTAAATGCTGATCCCAAGACTTATTTGCCTCAGCCTGAAAACACTGTAGGACACACAGATGTAACCTCTGATGGGTGCCTGCACCTATGCTCAGGCAGAAGGCTTAGGCAGATGAAAGGAAGCACTAAGTATGAGCAGCAAGAATCACAACCAAAAAAACACAAGGATCAACTGAAGTGACAGTTCAAACACATTTTCGTTCCTCAGTGAGGATGGAACAAAAAGAAACACCAGAATCTGGGCGTATGGGGCCATAAGGAGAGAAACAAGGGAAGGGTGTATGTCGAGTAAAAGGCCAGCTGAGCTCTCAGGCAATGGGCTGGGCACAGAGGTCAGAAGGAAAGCTTGTGCTGCCCAAGAGAAGAGCACACAGCAGGGTCAGCCGGGCTCCGTCCTTGGCCCACAGCACGCACGCCTTGAGGGAAGAGCACAGGCAGAGCTTTGCTGCACAGGCGTGCCGTGTTTGGCTTCGGTAGCACGCTCCTTGACAGCTGCCATTTGCTCCCACCTTTGTGGCATTAAACCGATTGTGAGACTAGGCAATGAGTTAGGTTAAAAATAGTGTGCCCCCTCTTTGTTGGCAGGTTAATTTTAAGTTCCCTGTTGGAGTTCATGGCACTGTCCTCACCATCCGTCTACTGGCACTGCTGGGCAGGAGGAAGCAGAAAGAGCAGCAGAGAAGGATGAGACAGGCTGAACGTGTCTTAGCCATTGACAGAAATTCTAGTCTCTCCTTGGGTAGGAGACAGTTTAAAGCAACTTTAAGGAAGGACACACACCTGAGAAGCATGTATTTGCCATCCATTTATCAAGAAGGATTCTTAACATAGGTGGTCAGTTGCAAACCAGAGATTTATCTACCTGCTGACGAATGATTACTAGTCAGAGCTCTTACACTCCAGAGCTCTTACACTCCAGACAGTATTTGTTAAACTAACATAGCCCATACAGATGAGACCGCAGTGCGAGAGTGCCCCCTTTTGCTCTGATGAGACTTGGAGAGCTGTAAGGGAATCGTACACAGAAGAAAGGCTTCACAGCACTGAAAGGTGACTTTTACAGTGGGAGAAGTGGCATGGAACAGGGGAGGCTGAAGAAGCCAGGAGAGTGAGTTAAAGCACTGAAACTGGAAGAACGGCACAAGGGGAATCAAGAGACATGTGCAACCATAGGGCAGAAAGGTAAGTGGGCAGAGAGGTAAGCAGGCAGAATCTCTTTCTGCATTACTCTGGCCAGAAAAAGGGCTGAAGTATAGTATCAGCAGGCTCTAGGGTAATGCATCCCTCAGGCATAGCAGAGTCTGAGATGAAAGATCTCTGTTGCACTGCATAAGAGCACAAGAAATACCACTGGGTCTAATGAAGCTAGGCATTTTACCTGATGGGACAACTGGCAGTTCTGCCTGTGGGAGCACATAGGCCTAGCTGCTCTCTACAGCCCGGTGCCCTCTCTTTTCCATCCTCTCATTCTCTAGATTAAGGTGCCAGGGAATGGAGAGGGCTGGCTGCTCCCTGTGGGATGGCAGCAAGGAGGTGCAGGGACAGTGAAGTTTAGGACAGTGGGGATCCTATCACTGAGATATCCCATCACTGAGGTGGGTAATGGGAGTTAAACACAACACCAAATTTGCCTACAGTCCTCATCAAAGAGGACAAAAATCAAACACTCAGAATGCCCTTAAATGCCCGTAAAGGCTTTGAAAGTCAGATCAAGTCCTGCCCTGGCAGAATCTTTCCTTCTGTCTTCTGGAACCTTTGACGTGATCTACACTGCATACTGCATGTGGTCCCTGAACTGGTGAATTCCTTTGTATGACCTGGGGCTATGCAGAATACCTGGTCAAGTCTTTTATTCAGTTTGATCAAAAGAGTCCTGACACAGCTAAGCATTTAGCTGAACAAGCATTTCACTATGAATAGCATAAATATTTGAATTCAAGTATATGTCAACAGCGTTCAATTGAAACCTTCATAATGAAGGCCTGTGGGAACTAAAGGTAGATGAAAGAAGAAGGAAAAGATCCTTTGTGGGGCTCAGTTAGGGTATTAAGACAACCCCACTTCTTGTAATCAGGTCAGCTGTGTTCTGCACAGAGACAGCAACATGCGGACACTAGTATTGTGCTTAGCTCCTGTATCACAATAACAGTAAGGTGGTTATGGTGAAAGCAGGCTGAAAACTCACATCACCTACCAAAAAGTGGTCATGTAAAAGAACACAGTCTGTCCAGAACTGGCGGGCTGAGTGACTGCAGGAAAAGAAAGCTAGTGATTCAGTGCTTTGGTGGAAAGGGTTTATGTTCCACTCAGGTCTGTGGTTTAGGTATTTGCATGTAAAATACAAGGGGGTTAATAGAAGCAGCAAATAAAATCAGTCATTTTTCTAACAGACAGCAGACACTAGGGGAAACTAGCAAGCTGGAGGGTGATAGTTCCTGTTTTGAAAATACTCAGTGCATATTGGTTTTGAAGATCTTCATTGGGGAGCCAGAGCAACACCAATAATGAGCACAGAAAAGCTACCTAATTAAGTTGGCACATGGGTTTATCACTTGGTGGTAAAAAACCTAAGTGACTTAAAGGAATAGGGAATAAACAGTGTCAGGAAGGATCTTAACTGTAAAGTTAAAAAGGTAAATACATCTGTAGGAAAGACACCTCTCCCTCATACATGCATAATTTAGGCTTCAGTGATGGAAGAAGGCACATTTTTAACAAATTGTCTCCGTAAGTGTATCTCACTTAAGATGCTGTTAGGCAGCCGTCTGTTGGTGGTAGGAGATGAAGTGTCAGTTGCACTTTTGTTCCTGATACTGTTATTTTAAACACTGAGAGACACTGAAAAGAGCAAGATACAAGATCTAACTAATTTACAGCAGTTGCGGCCACCAAGTTGTATTCAGCACTTTAACATGAGGGTGGCCCTCCTGCCCCAGAGCAGTGTAATAAAGCAAAGCAAGGTCAGCTGTCCCTAACAGGGTAATGGACCACCTCAACCAAAACTTATGGACAAAGACTGCTCAGAAATACCAAGTGCTTATCTGCACATTTAGAAACATAAACCACGTTCACATACCTGTATTTCTGATTCCCAGCATTACTGACATCTTAGGACTGTAGCAAACACCCACAAGCATATATTTAAGTAGTTTAGCCAACACAACAACCTCAAATTTCCTCTGTTCCTTTATCCGGGAAACACCACACATACATTTCTACTTGCCTGCTTTCACCAGCACAACATTAGGCAAAAACCCTTTGGGCAAAATTATAATCCCCATGAAGTCAAGGCCTTTTGTGGCTCCAGGGCTGTGGCCAGCGGCACAAATCTCTTTCCTAGTTAAAGGCCTGGCAGTCCTTTGTGCCCTGGCTGTGGGCTGGAGTGCAAATGGAAAGCCTTCTAGAGAGAGTCACAGACACCTAGGTTAATTCCCTGGTGTCAGGTGTTGGGGAGTTGCTGAACTGCTGCAGCTCCATCCATGCCCCTGGGTGCAGCTAGTAATGGGGCTGGGCATGTGTTCCCAGGCACATGCAAACATGCAAATGCAACATACATATATATATATATATATATATATATATATATATGTGCGCCAGACACACAGATCAACATGGGCAGCAACATTCAGCACTCATAAAAATGCAGATAGCACTAATGGCTTCATCCCGTTCCTCTCTCTGGCAGATCGGGATGAAGTCCCATTAGTAGGAAATATAAAGCATATGTAGAAAGGAGTCCCTCCAGTAGCAGGGCTTAGACAGTCAGTCTGTCCTGTAGCTCAACCCTGGGTCTCCAGTCCCCCCTCGCTCACACACACGCTGTCATCCCGACAGCAGTTGGCCTCAGACACGGAGTTTACCCAGTATCTGGTCTCAGGTCTTGCCAGCTGCTGGCACCTGGGCACACGAGCCCCTGAGGCTCGCGGTCCCACTCCAGTTGCTGATACAGGTTCCCCTCTCATTGTGGATCCCTCAGGCAACAGTGCTCAGATACACAGTATATCCAATTGCTGGCACCAGAGTCTTGCTCTCCCTGATTTCTTCCCACACAGAGACACAAACACATGCAAACAAGTGTCCTGGTCCCTGTGATAGCCAGCTCCTTCAGGTCCCTCACTTTTAGACATATACATGTACCCAGCTCCCAAGCCACTCAACCTATTCCCTGGCTAATCTGGCTTTGTATTTGCTAGTGACCACACACTGACATACACACCCTCACTTGCTCCAGTTGTTGGCACCAGCTGGCAAAGGCCCTTATGACCTGTGCTCTGACTGTAGTTGCTGGCACTTAATTTCCCTCTTTCAGATCTCTTCAGTTGCTGGCACCGCACCACAGACACGTGGGCCCCTGTGACCTGTACTATGACTTCAGTTGCGGGCATTCAACCCTACACACACGCATGCACACAAAACCAGAGAATCTTTCAGTCATGAAAATACCTAGAGATGGAGTTTGATGAGAAGGCAGGACAGCCTATGCTGATCAGACACAGGGCATGGCCAGACAGTCCTGCTGACCGGCAACCCGTTGGCGTGCCACCAGCCCTTTGAATCCTCTTGTCCTATTTTCCCATGCTTGTTCTTCCCCAAACTGTTCCGATGCCTCCCCTTCCCCACCTTTGGTTCCTCCAATAAACATACCATAGTTCGTTCTGTGCAGTCCCCGAATGCTCTTCCCTTGCACCCCATAACGTGTCCCATAACCTTAGGCAGTAACCTTCCTCAGTCTGTAGGGTGATGTGGAAAGCCTCTCCCAGGTACTCATCATCATGAATGTCCCCCCATGCCATGGGGCCGGTGGCTCTGCAGGGACAGCTCTGCGAGGAGCCAGGGCAGGGGCTCCGTTTCTCGGACTGGGTCACTGGGCTGCCTTATCTAGTGCCTCTCTGTGAGTTTCAGTTTACGGGGACAAGCTTTTTGTAACATAACCTAGTGGGGAACCACAGTTAAAGCTTTGGTAAAATGCTCTAAAACTAGAATTGTCCAGTCACCTGAGTAGTTTGGTTCATTTGTACGATAATCGTCCCGGAGCCACCAACTTGAAGAGCAGCTACTTGACCCGTTTTTTTTTATTTCAGTCGTGTTGTTTTAAGGAAGAATGTACAGAAGGGGCCAAGGAGGTGTAAGAACTAGAAAGGAAAGAGCAAGTAAATTCTGAGAGAGGGGGAAAAACCTAAGTGCTATGAGTGACTGCAGTTGCTAGGGGCTAAGCAGTTTTTTCGGCTGGATACGGACATATGAAGGTCTGAGTGGGGAGAGCACACAAACAGTAGTAAAATACAAGAATGGAACCCCAGATTGCTCCCCATTGTGGGTCTTCACCTGTGTCCTTGCTCTTGCAGATGCAGACACGCTGGAGCTGCGGGAGGGCAGGCACGCAAGCCTGCCTGGAAGCAGGCTTTGGGCACAGCGTCCCTAGGATGAGTTGGTGCGAGTTAGTGGGGGGAGAACTGTGTGTTGGGGCAGGGGTGGGGTGAATGAGGCCAGAGCATGACGAGTGCTGGTCTGGGCTCTCTGGTCTGGGGCAAGCATGGATAGGGGGGATAGTGAGGAGGATCTGAAGGAATACGGGTTGTGAGCTCTTCATACCCAACGAGCTCATCGAGGTCACCTCTTCCAGGGTTCTTGAAAGGGGCAACCACTTACAGTACCCAAGATCCTGGAGAAGGGCTGGGGCCAGCACAAGCAGTGCTGAGAGAGGGTTTCCATAGTCCGGTGGTGGCTGCAGGCCACTTCCCGTCTGCCACGCTAAGCTCCGTGGCATGCTGTGTAGCCCCTTTGGCGTGCACCGGTTTGTAGTTGGCTGTGCCCTGGAGCCCTCTGAACTCCTGGTTTCATATTTTAGGTTTCCCCCAAGTCTTTCTGTGTGCCCCAAGGCCCCATGATTTTCATACAGTGTGCTACCACACTTCCTGTTTAGCTTTCCTCCCCGCCCAGAGTTTTGGCAGCGCTTTTTCGGTGTGCCCTAGAGTCCCACGTTTTCCCTTCTGCGTGGCCCAAGACCCGCCCCTTTGCCCTTCCTTCTGCAACCGCAGAACAAGTCAGTGGGGCCGGGGGGGCCCCGCCAGCTGGAATATCCCGGGGAAGATGACACAAAGGGGTAGGGAGGGCCGGGGCACACAGAGACAGGTCCGAGAAGACCGGCGCTAAGCTCACGGAGGGGTGGGGGTGGTGCCGGGGCCGTGGGTGGCCCGGAACCCGAGGGGATGGAGGAAAGCTGGTGCGCCGGAGCAGTGGGGAGGACGGACACAGACACGCGGGGCTCCCAGAGCGTTGGGGCTCGCCGTGGGGGGATGATGGGGGAGCACCTGGGGGAGGTCGGGGCCCAGTGAAGGGGCGATCCCGGGGAAAGTCCCGACGGGCCGGCGGGAGAGCTAGCCGGAGCGCTGCCCCGTCGTGCGGAGCCGTGACCCGGGACCGGTGGCCGGTAGTGGGAATCCCGGTCCCCGCAGGAAAAGCCGGGCCTCGCGGGCGCTTTGGGGGCAGGAGGGCCCACGGGCCGGTGTCCCGGCAGGGTTGAACGGCACGGGAGGTGTCGCCTCGCGGCATGCTGGGAGTTGCAGTCTGCAGGTGGCGGCGGCGTCGGGCACGTTGGTCCGCAAGGCATGCCGGGAGATGTAGTCTTCCGCCGCCAACTTACCCGGCGGACATGTTGTCCCGTGCAGCATGCCGGGATCAGTAGTCTCCTGCCGGGAGCGGAACTGCTCTGCCGCGGGGAACGGGCTCGGTCGCATCGCGCCGCGCTCGCTGCTGCGCCCCGGTAAGGGACCGCGACCGCCGCCGCCGCCGCCCGTGCGCGGCTGCTCGGCGCGCCGGGCGCGGAAGTGCAGCGCCGGTGCCGCCCCTGGGTCGGCTGCCGTACACCGCTCCTGCCGCCGCCGCCGCCACCCCGTGGGCGAAGCGCGGTGCTGCAGCCCCGGCGTTCGCGCGCCGGCTCTGGCCCCTGCGGCGCGCCGTCGGGGCTGGAGCAGGCGCGGTGTACGGGAGCGGCATGGCGGCGCGGCGCCCGGGAGAGAGAGGGGCCGGGCGGCGGCGGCGGGCTGAGGCCACCGGTGAGGCGAGCGAGCCCCTCGGGCAGGGGAGGGGGTGTCTCCTGCCCGCCGGACGGCGTAGGGGTGGCGGGACGGGAAGCTGCACGGCGGCCGCTGCGGCAGGCTCCCGGTGCGCTGGCGGCGAGCCGGGCCGGGCCGGGCCGGGGCAGCCCCGGGAGCGCCCCGGGAGCCGGCGGAAGGGAAGAGGGGAAGGAGGCGGGCGTGCCCCCAGCTCGCCAGAGCTCCGCCTGAGCCTCCCCCGGCCCCGCTGGCCCCGTGCAGCTGCCCCCAGCTCCAGCACCTCCCCTGAAGCCTGGCCGGTCGCTCCAGGCCACCCCAAGCCCCGTGGGGACGGCGGCAAGCTGGACCTCGAATGCGGTTGAGTCCCCCTTACCGGGGGTGCCGTTAGCAGTCGTGCGGGGCACGAGTCTCGGAAGCCCTGTCTTCTGCCCCTTTTAAGGTTCCGGTGATGAACGCCCGATGCGTTTCTTGTTAGGGCGCAGCGCTGCAAAGGGGCGGGCTAAAACTGGGGAAGTCCTGTTGTGCTTTGTGGGATTATTGCGACCCCAGCGGTTCCCTGCCGCTCCGGCAGCGCCTGTGCCCCGGCTGGAGGCTTTCCGCGCGGCCGGGACCGGCTCCACGCACGGGTGGGCAGCCGGGGCCGCGTCCCGCGGGGAGCAGGGGTCGGCCCCGGGGGCAGGGAGCCGGCTCCGGGCCGGCAGAGCCCTGCCGCGGCTGGGTCGGCGGGTCCTGCCGGGAGCCCTGGGCCGGTTTCCTGCTGCCCTGTTAGGTGCCGCCCGGTGCCTGAGTGCTCAGAACTCCAGGCTCCTGCCTGTGCCGGTCCTCTGTGGGTAGACGGCCACATTTCTGACCCTCTCTGCCCACGCACTTGCAGTGCAGGGAAGCAGGGGCTTGGTCCGGGCCGTCCCTCAAGCTGTGGAGGTGTTAGTTCCCGAGCAGAGAGTCCTTCTGACTCGCTAGGCAGAGAACAAGGAGGTGCCGCTTCCCGGCTCGTCATAGCCGGCGCATGGTAGCCATCACGGCGTACTGCACGGCCACGGCTGTGCTGCACGGGGGTGACGCCCGTGTCCTCTCAGAGGAGGATGGAGGTTCGCCTGCGCCCTGCTCACTAAACACCTGCTGTTTTGCTTTCAGGGTGGATGGGAGGCCTCTGTTTTTGTGGCCGATGCTGGGGGCGCTTCCATCGAGGCCTGGATCAACTGGGACGTCGGCACTGGTGCGTTGGAGGAGGGAGGTAGCCGATGGCAGGGAATCGCACCCCAGCACCTGGTGGCCCCTTCCTTCTGCTAAGAACAGCCGCCTTCCCACCCCAGGCAGGCCGGGTAGCGCGCTCAGGTACGGTGGGACTAGCGGCTTGGCCAGATGCTGCTCTTCTGCGGAGCCCAGTGCGAGAGACCGGGAAGAAAGGCAGAGCGCGGCTTGAAAGCTAAGCCTTGGTGGCTGTTCCCTAAAGGCCAGGGGTGAGAGCTGAGCCTAAAAGGTCTGCAGTGATGCTGTTGCTGCCTGGCTTGGCTGGGGGAGGGTGGTGTGTTCGGGGCCAGCCCCTGCTCCCGGCGCGACTGGTGTTTGCTGCGGGTGGGTTGAGCAGAGCGGGAGCGCCCTGCCTCCCCGCAGTCCTGAGCATAGCTCCCTACTCAGCCTCGAGGTAATGAATTTTGTGCCTGATGGCAGGCTTCGGGTCAGAATCCGGTGTTGGTCTTTGAAGCTCCTCTTCAAGGCAGAGCGTGGTTCTGATAAGCGGCACATGCGGTTCACAGGTGCTGTCTGTGTTCTTTCCCCTTTGCAAGACCTGGCGTCCCCGGTTTGTGCCAGAACCTTGAGCGAGGGTCTGGCCCTGCTGCAGATTCTGCACCGACCTGCAGACCTCGTCCCTCGAGGTGGAGGTTGGGGCAAGCTGCCGGAGGATTAAAAACTTGTCCTGCTGCCTGCAGGCACCGTTCTCCAGAGAGTTTGGACAGCGCTTTAGGAGCAAGGGGTAAAGCGCCTGCTGCCCTTGGTGTGCAGGGGGTGTGGGCTGACAGTCACGGTTGGCACCGGAGGCCTGGATGGGCAGAGCCCGGTGACAGCCCTGACCTGCCCCGCAGCACCAGGGCTGTGCCTGTGTGTGAGGCTGGGCCCCAGCCCCAGTTCCCAGGCACTTCCCTGTAGGCTCTCAGAGGCACGGGGGTGGGGGTCGGTGGTTCTTCCTCGCCCCCGCCCACCAGACCTTTCGGGCAGGGAATGGGTTTGAGATGTGTCTCTTTCTGAGCCCGGAGAAACAGTTTAAGTGGAGTGTTTTCCGGGCTTAAAACAAGCTCGGTGGGTACGGTTGGGGGCTCCAAACCAGAGGCGACGTGCTCTGGTTCTGAAGCTCTTCAAAAACCGAGTGTGCTCATTGTTTTGGTGGTGTGTGTTTGTTTGTTTGTTTGTTTTTTGTTTTTCCTCCGTGCTTGAAAACAGCAGCTAGTTCTGCGTGTTCTGAGACTTGAAAAAAGACTTTCTTTTCAGAGCTTGAAAAGGGAAGCTAAGTAATTTCTCTGTGAAGCTCCGAAAAAGACCTAAGTTTCTGAGGCTGAGAAATGAACGAGGCCCTTTGTTTCTCAGGCTGCAAGCTGGAAAGCAAGCGCTTTGCTTTTGGGACTCAAGAGCAGAGGGTGACCGCTGCCTTTCTGAAGCTCAGAAAAAGGCGTGCCACAAGCGCAGGCATGGTTTCCTCCTCAGCCAGAGCCAGACGCGGTCTCCTCGGCTCCCGTGCGTTCGGGGTGACCCTGCCAGGTGTCCCCCGGGCACGGCGTGCCTGCTGGCTTGAGAGCGCTCAGCAGACATTTCTTCCCGTGTCAGCATCCCCGGTGCTGCCCGTGCCAGGGCCATGCTCCTTGCCCGGTCACGTCCTCCGGTGCTGCCCACGTTGGGGCCGCGCTCCTCGCCCTGGCCCGGGCCGAGCCTTTCTGCTGCTCAGCTGCTCCCCTGCGCTGTCACCTGCACTGGAAAATCTCATCGTGAAGAAGCGGCCGCGGCGTCGCAGCCGGGAGGACGGAGCTCTGGCTTGAGCAGGAGCTCTTGGCCCCGCTGCCCGGCCTGCCCGGAGAGGAGCAGCTCTGCAGCAGCCAAGCATCGGGGCAGCTCCGAGTGCGGACCTGCTGCCAGTCAGGCGGGCACGGCGGTACGGCCAGGCACTCGGCACCACCAAGCAGAGCTGACAAAGCGCCTCTTTGCGCAGAGCCCAGAGCTGCCCCTCCAAAACCGCCCCCGCCGCGGGAGCGCCCCGGGGAGCTCCCTGTGCCCGGGGGTGCCTCTGTTGCTGGTGCCCCTTCCCCGAGGCACCGCGAGCGTTGTAGGAGCGAGGAGCCCGACTGGGATGTGCCCGCTCTGCTGCCCCGGCCGTCCCCAAGCTCAGCTGTGCAGAGGCTGCTGCCAGCAGCTGGGGCTCCTGCGCTCCTCCCGTGGCTGCTCCCTGCAGGCAGCAAAAGCCGTTCGCTGAAGGCAACCGCCAGCTTTGAGGACGTCCCCTGCCCTCCCCTCCCGCACTCCTCTGGCCACCGCAGGCTGAGGCCCGGTTTTATGCATAACCAGCCTCCTCAGCCACAGGCCAAGTCAACCCTGGAGGACAGAGGTGACGCTGGGTCACTGTTTGGTCCCCTTCTCTACCAGGGGACACGTATTCCCCCGCCAGGCAGGTGCCAGCTGTAGGGGACCTGTGCTGCAGAGCGAGACACGAGGGCCCCGTTCTGCTTTCTAGTGGAGCCGAGCCCCCCAGGGACGGCGAGGCAGTCTGGGCTCCTGGCGTGACCTGGGGGTGGCAGCCTGTGTCCTCTGCCCTCCTGGGAGCCGCCGGCTGAGAGGCACGTGTGTGCGGGGAGCCCTTGTACCCGCTGCTGCGTCCCAGCTGCCGAAAGGCGTCGTCCGTCCCCTGCAGGTGCCTGAAGGCCTCTCTGCACGCACAGTCTCCCCACAGCGGCAGCTGGAAAGAGAGAGATTTTAGGAGGTGATGTAAATCGCTACTGGTCACCCTCTTAGCTGCTGCCGTCTGCCTTCTCTCGCACAGAGGTCGTCCTCTGTGCTGGCTCTGCGGTGCTCAGCCAGTCCGGTTTTCTCGTCCTGCGTGAAATGGGAAAGGGAACAAATGTGGTCTGGAACGGGAAAGGGGACAAGCGTAACGCTTCCCTCCTCTTTTGTTTTACAGGTGAGCTGCCACAGCTGCGAGCCCGTGTTAGAGACAAGAGAAAGTGTTAATCGACCAAGGCGACGAGCACGAGAGCCAAAGCGTTTCTGCCCCCCAGGAGGAGAGGCGCCGTTTCCTTTGGCAGAGAAGGCAGCGCCTGCTGTTACGGACCGTCCTCGTGAGAGCAGCGAGCGTGGCCTCCTGCCACTCTGTTGGGCGATATAAAGAACCAACAGGATCAATCACCGGGACGGTTTCTGTGTTGGGGTGCCGGGAGCGATGCCGAGGCGCTCCCCGACATCTCGGATGTTGAGGCGCCGTGCTGCGCCCGGATGAAAATGAACCTGACCTGAACGGAAGGAAGCCCTCTGGCTCCAGCGGGGCTGGAGGCGGCGGCGGCCCCGAGCCGTCCAGGGAAAATACCCCAGATTGTCCAGAATCGAGCCGCAGTCGCGTCCCACTGGGGCTGCCTAACGTCGCCGAAGGAGAAGGGTGGAGCCTGGAAAGACGTGGCCAGCCTGGCTGCAGCTCGTCGCGAGCACTGCCACGAGCGGCTGGCCCTGCCAGCAGACAGCCCCAGCCAGCAGCGCGGGAAGCGGCAGCGTGGGCGGCCGTCCGAGCAGAGCCGTCACGCCGCGCGGGAGCAGCAGCAGCTGCCACGAGCAGGCAGACACGCAAACCCGAGCTGTCGCGTTGGGCGCAGGATCTGTCACGGAGCCTCCTGCCACCACGTGGCAGCAGCCTCAGCTTGGCACCCGACCGCCCGCGTGTTTCCCATCGCGACGTTAACGGCACCGATGGATCCACAGCGCAACGCGTGCCCCGCTGCAGGCTTCTGTGCCGGCACTGTTACCGTGGACAGTTGCCGGTGGGACCACGAAAAAGCACCGGGCGGTCCAGGCGACAGACGGAGCGATGACACCCTCAGCAGCGGGTTCGAGGAGTCGGTGTTTGCGACGGCACGGGCTCCTCCTCGGCCAAAGGCCTGTCTCTGGATGGCGACGGGCAGCGGCGCAGCATCCCCTGGCCTTGTGGGCCACCAAATTTCCAGCGAGTGAGAGAAACGAGCCGGGAGCGGGCACCAGGCCCCAGCCGGAGCCCAAAGCCAGGGGCTGCCCCGTCCTGGCGACCGACCCCCGCAGGTACGAGTCATCTGCCCCAGTGGGGGCTCACGGTACCAGCCTGGGAGAGCTGCTGGGAGGTGACGGGGCAGCGGGGCGGGGCCGCTGTCCTTGTCGCCCACGTCGCAGCACATGTAGCTCCTTTGGCCCCAGGGCTTGTGTCGGCAGGGCTGTAACGCGCAGGAAAAGGGGGGGGCGACCGGGCACCCGGGGGAAGAATCAGCCTGCAGGTAAAATGAGAAACCCGACAGCACCTTCCCCTCCCTTGTCACCCCCGTAGTCATCGCCCTGGTCTCAGCTGCCCCCCGGCCTGCCTCCCTGCGGCACGGCCCCGCGCTCAGGGCAGCCCAGCCCTGGGCCCCCCCCCTGCCCTTGGGTGCTGTGTGTGCACCCCCCGTGCGGGGCGGGAAGGGAGGCGGCAGCAGAAGGGGATCGTCGGTGGGGCCGGGACAACCCCCGCCCCAGGGCTCTACACTCACAGCCGGCTCTCCCCGGTTTGGGATAGGATGGGGCTGGACACGCCGAGAAGGCGCTGGGACGGCTTCTGGCGGCCGGGGCCCCGGCCCACGCCCCGGCATTTTTGCCGTTGGAAGGTGGAGCAGAGCGTGTGCCTGTTAAATCTAAGGATGATCAAAAGCTGGGAGGGACCCTAGGCCGGTTTGGTGGCCCGACGGCTGCTTTAAAAGGTCCTCAGCGTTTGGAGAAACGGCCTGGGAAAAATAATTGCTGGGTTTGCAGCGAGGCAGCTCGCGAGGACAGATGGGTTGCTGTACTCTTTAAAAAAATATTCAACTTGGGACTTACCGGCTGAGGAAATCTTGGCTCTGCTTAGGCTTGAGAAAGCGTACGTAGCTAGCTATGGCTGCCAGCCGCCTGTGCCTAGGAGAGCGAGTTATTGTGAAACTAAAGCTGCCAGTGAGTCGAAAGAAAGGCATGGTTGTCTAAAAAGCGCAAGAGCTCTAGTGGTCTGTATCGGCAACTGTACCAAAGATGATGCAAAACATGGTTCTTCCCTCCACTCCGTTGTCCCGTCTTCGCCAACAAACCAGGAAGCTTTAGACTCCTACGCGGCTTTATGCTAAAGGGATTTTTCCCCCTCTCAGCTGGATGTCAACTGCCACCGTTGCACCGTGGCTGCCCTTTCCCGTGCCATGAAAGTACGAGGCAGATGGAGAGAATCCGTAGCGGTCTGCAAGTACGAGGTACGTCTGCGACGTGCGTCTGCATTTTTCCTAAGTTGCTTGTAGTATGGACTTGAAGGTTAACCCTTAGAACGTGCCAACTCTCCTTCTCTGTTTTTAAGATGAAGTATTCTAACAGAAATACAAAAAACAAGGTCTGTTCCGGAGCATGTTCCGCCTATGCAAACCTTACTCTCCTCTCTTTGTTTTTCCTTCCTGCGGGCATAGTCTTCTGTTTCTGTGCGTTTACTGTTAAATAGTACCGTGAAGATAATTCTGTAGTAAAAGAGGAAGGAGAGACGGTTCCTCAGAGTTCCGATGTTCAGAAGAAACAGACTTTGTTTTCACGATGAAAGCTTTATGGTTTTTCTGTCAGAAAGTTTTAAAAATACCTTATGGTAGCACGCGAAAACCTTACTGACATATTGGCATCCATACTAAAAGCAATCGAGGTCAAAGAGGAGACGTGGACGAAATAGGACAAATCGGGGTCGCGTCCGTGTGTTTTTCAGGGTTTCCCAAGAAGTGTTAGCGGCCTTGTAACGAGTGAGAGTGAGTCCTGAGGCTTTCTTGGTGAGTTCTTGCTTCAGCAATGGCCTTTTTCCTTTAACCTGCAGTGTGTAGTTTTGACTTGAGTTGAAAAGGGTTTTTCCAAAATGGCAATCTTTCTCATTCAAAGAAATTTCATTTTACGAACTTCCGGTCAGAGCGGGTCTGCAGAGAGGACGTGCTTGATGGTAGAAGTTGTCGGCGGCGAGACTTTTCTCTCCAGAGAGCAAACAGAGAGGCAACTGAACGCTATGGGTATTTTCTTCTAGATATGTTGATGGAGTGCTCTGAGGTCTTTCCTTTATTTCCGTCTCGCTTTCAACGGCACGTTTCCCTGGTGGTTCAGCAGCATTTCTCTTGGGCAGTGCAGCTGGCCAGGTGTCCCTCCTAACTATGTGACACCGGAAAATCCCACCCCCTGGGCCACACGATAACTGTGTGTTTTGGAGATAGGTAATGTCGTGGTGTCAATTCACAGCTCTGCAAGTTGAGCTAATGCAAAAGGAAAATCGACTCCTTTTATAGTGTGAGTATTTTTATTGGATGTATATAAACATGCGCACCTTTTCATAGAGAGTGAATTACTGAGATTTATTCTTTCTTTTTTTTCTTTTACTTTTTCAAGTTTGGCACTTCACTTCTGATTTTATTGACCAAGCAAGCAAGATGTGCAGCAGCAGCAGCAGCAGCGCCAGGGCTGTAGCTGTTAGGGGCAGGTTCTGATTCGGGTCTGAGCTTGTCCTGCAGCCTCCCTGGGTTCTCTCACTGCAGCAGCGCTGGGAGGGACGGAGGAGACCTTGTCCGACTCAGCAAGACTGTTTGCCTTTATGCATGGCAAGTGCTCAAAATCGTATCGGTTGCTCTTAATAGTGATTTTTAGAGTTCCAGTCACTCCAGCCTTTACAGGATGCATTGTATTTCGAGCTGACCTGTTTTCACAGACTCCTCCCCTAGCTCGACTCCTGTGCGATCCCTTCTTCTGACTGAGCTGTCTGCTGCGTTATTTTTCTAAGATGCTGGAATACGATTTGGGATTTTTGTTTTTCAGTTGTGTTGTTGCGAGCGTCTCGTGATGCCCGATAGACACCCCCTGGGCCAGGTTTGCCGCCGGTGGTTGAGCCCAGGAGGGCGAGGGGCCAGCCCTGTGTTTGGAGGCTCCTGGCTCAGCCTGGCGGGGCAGGGGCTGGGAGGGCTACAACTGTTTGGGGCGGCGAGGAGGGACTGGGGAGCGGGGGGAGGTTGGTGGCCCCCTTTATTTTTCTAGCAGAGCCACCGCTCAGCAGGGGTGGGGGGCTTGTACATATCTAAATGGCATTATTAAAGTAAGCAGCTGCTGGTTGGGGCAGTTTCCGTTGTGTTGTGCCTTTTTGAGGGGCGTCGTCATCCGAGGGGGACGATAATGTCATTTGGGGCACCCCAGTGTCACTGGGAGGGTGATGACGTGGCAGAGGAGCAGGTGAGTGGGGGAAGGGGATGGTCATGGGGGAGCTTAAAAAAAACCTAAAAACTGTGAGGCGATGAAATACAGAACAATCTGTAGTGTTTATATATATAATGTAAAATTATACTCATTTATATATAAAAAAGGATTTCAAACTAAAACCGTATCTACTCTACTACAGAAAGGATTTTAGAATATAAAAAAATTCTGAATATGTATCTATAGGGTTTTGCAATACAAAAATAGCTTGAGTATACTTAAAATGTTTGGGGCTTTAAATTCAAAACTGGATTATGTATTCTATATATGAGGGAATTTACAGTACAAAAAGACTGAGTAGAGCTATCTACACTCTGTCCAGTGTAGGTATTATAGGCAGTCTAGATAGAGATTATGTGTGACTAGGTATCTAAATCGATACTCTCTCTAAGTGTAAATAGGTATCCATGTATATGTGTATATGGCTAGATAGATAGTCTGTTACGAGTGGAAATAGGTAATAACTAGGAAACATATATAATCCGTAGGTAGATATATGTGCGTAGATAGATACGCGAGCGTAAATGTCTATGATATATAAGGTTTCTAGAAAGGATTACAAAACTAGCTCCCGCCCAACTCCTCGAAATCCCTCTCTGTTGAAGATAGAAAAGTGCTTTCAGAAGGGGCCTGTGTTGGCTTTGCGTGTGTGTGACGGGGGTTTTAGGTAGCGGGGGGGGGGTGTGCCGGTGCATGTGCTTACGGTTCCAAGCCGGACCCCCCTCTGGCCCAGGCCGAGCCAGTTAGCGATGGTGGCCGTGCCTCCGCGATAACGTGCTTGAGGAGTGGGAGCTGTGAGGGGGATACCTCTGCAAAGACAGCCTGTGGTGAGAGGGCAGGGCCATCTGCCTGCAGCCCACGGAGGTCACCAGTGGAGCAGATGGCACCTGCAGCCGGTGAACGACCCACGCCGGAGCAGGCGGCTGCGCCCGAAGAAGGCCGGGACCCTGCGGGAAGCCCATGCGGTTGCAATTCAGCGCTGGGAGGACTGCGACACGTGGGAGGGATCCACGCTGGAGCAGCTCGAGAAGAGCTGCAGCCTGTGGTAAGGACTCATGTCGGAGAAAGTTTGCGGGGGACTGTCTCCCGTGGGAGGGGGCCCACGCTGGAGCAGGGGAAGAGTGTGAGGAGTGCTCGCCTGAGGAGGAAGGAGCAGCTGAAACAACGGGTGATGAAGTGACTGCAACCCCCACCCCCTGCCCGCTGTGCTGCTGCTGGCAGGAGGAGGTAGAGAAGTGGGGAGCAAATCTGAGCCTGGGAAGAAGGGAGGGGTGGGGGGAAGGTGTTTTTGAGAGGCGGTTGTATTTCTTGCCGTCCCACTCTGTTTAGCGGTGGCAGTGCTGCGTGAATGAAATTGATGTTCTTCCTCTAAGGGACCCGTGGCGGGAATGGGCGAGTCATCCCGCCCTGTCCTTGTCTCGCCTCTGGAGCCTTTTGTGGTATTTTCTCCTTTCCGTTTGTGAGGGGGAGGGAGCGAGCGGGCGAGCGGCTGTGTGGTGCTCAGTTGCCCGCTGGGCTTAAAGCATGACATGGCTCCTACCCTTTTCTCCTCTTCCCCCTTTTTCCCATCCTGTTCTGGGGCCGTTTGCCCCGAAGGCGGACTTCCCTTGGTGGGGCCTTCCAGGCAGAGCAGGAGCTGCTGCCATGGCACAGAAATACCCCAAACCCCCTGATTCTGGGTCTGCGTAGGGAGGGAAAAAAAAAAGTTGGGGGGTGAGGGGGGAAAGAACACCTCAGTTTTGGGCTCCTGGGAAAGCCAAATCTGCCTAGGTTGTGCAGCTGGGAGGCAAAATACCACCCATTTTCATGGACAAAACCAAAGCAGAAATCACCAGGTTTTATGTTGTGGAAAACCACCGAAGAAAAATCAAAACGGAAAAGCAGGAAACTCCAGCTTTTGTGTTACGGAAAAGCAGAAGAAAACCCAATGTGGAGAAAGCGTGGGGTGAAACACCAGCAGTTTGAGGGGCATCGCTGGGGACTATGCGGCGTGGGTCAGTTACCCAGCACGGATGATCTGTTGGGGGTTATCGCAGGTGAGTTAACCCGCTGTGGATTAGCCCCCGTCGACTCCTTGGTGTAGGTCACCCCCACCCGTGCATGTTTCTCCCCTCACTCCTACCCCCCTGCTGTGTCCAGGTGAGGTTGCTGTGTCTCCCCCCCTCGCTCCCCCCACGCAGGACTTTTTCCCCTGCCATGAGAAGCCCTCCCTCCCACATCTCCTGCCCTCCGATCTTGTGCCCCGACTGCTCCCGCCCTCTGATCTCCAGCCACCCCTCACTGTTTGTATTCTACACCCCACCCCATATTCTTCACCGCACCCCCCCACCCCCCCACCGTAGCCCCTCTGCCTCTGGGGCGCTGCCTGCAGCCAGTAGCTGTTGGCTCGCTGCTGCCGCTCCAAGCGCAGAGAAACGTGATTCCGGCACCCCCAGCGAGGCGCTGCCGCCTTTGGCTGGTAGGAACCGGGCTGCCCGTCCTTTCTCCTTGTCCTTCAAGCTCAGGGGAGGAGCGTTACGGCGCTGCTGCCCCCCGGCGGCCAGAGCTCGGTACTGCAGCCCGGGGAGCGTGCATGCGCAGTGTGCACGTACATCGGAGCGCTCGCTACTGCCACCCGGTGACCAAAGTTCGGTACTGCAGTCCGGGGACCGCGCATGCGCAGTGTGCCCGTATTTCGGACCGCTCGCTACTGCCACCCGGTGACCAAAGTTCGGTACTGCAGTCCGGGGACCGCGCATGCGCAGTTTTCCATGTTTTTGAGTGCTCGCTACTGCCACCCGGTGATCGAAATACGGTAATGCAGTCCGGGGGTCGTGCATGCGCAGTGTGCTCGTGTATTTGCGTGCTCGCTACTGCCACCCGGTGACCAAAATTGGGTACTGCAGCCCGGGATACGCGCATGCGCAGTATGCCAGCTCGTCGGGTCGCTCGCTACTGCGACCGGGTGCCCAAAGTTTGGTACTGCAGTCGGGGGGCCGCGCTTGCCCAGTGTGCCCGTGTTTCGGAGTGCTTGCTACTGCCACCAGGTGACCGAAATTAGGTACTGCAGTCCGGGGGCCGCGCATGTGCAGTGTGCATTATTAAAGTAAGCAGCTGCTGGTTGGGGCAGTTTCCGTTGTGTTGTCACATGATGGTGACATTATCTAGTAGTGGTTAGGGTGAGCATCTCATGTATCTGTATATGGAGTTTTAGCATTTTTCAAGAAAGTGCCAGGGATATAAGGTGTGATAAATAATAGAAGAATTTTGCTTTTGCTAAAAGTAATTAAACAATTACTTTTATTGAGTTAGGCTAAAGCTATTATTAGTACAACAATCCAAATTTTAAGAAAAGTAGAAGAATTTACTACTGGGAAAAGAAAAGGGGGGAATTGATCTGAGGAAACACCAACCCAACAACCGCCCCCCCCCCCCCCCTTCTTGGGATGCTCACCAGATGGTCCATATCAAAGGATGGTAACTCCTTTGCAATGGAATGAGAAAGAACAGGGTGGGCCATCTCTTGTCCTGGAGAGAAGAGAGGAACTGAAACCACTGAGCCATAAAGACAAAGGAGCTGCAAATTAGCCAAAACTTGAAGGACAAGGTGTACGTGACCACAGGACTGAATTTGTGCAGAAGTAAGGGTCAGCTAGCGAACACAGTGAAGAAGACTACAAGCCTTCATCTGAAGAGCCCTGCTCACGACCACCAGGGAGCACTGCGCAAGTGCGATGGGAGGAATTTGGGGTGGGAGGATATGTTAATCATTTCTCGGAACTAGTTGTAATATTCCCTCCCTATCCTTGGGGTAGTGATGCATATGTATTAGAGTAGATGAATAACATTTTATACAATAAAAGGGAGCCCCTTTTGGCTCCAGAGTGTGTGCCATTGCGCCCACTGCTGTATTCTTTGCTCCACTGACTTTGTCCCCAATAAAACCTTTTTATTATATATACGTGGCCTTGCTTCTCACAAAGGCATAGTGTCTTTCAGGGTATAGGATGCCTCATCACTGTTCTTGTTTGCCCCCAGAGTTCTGTGTTGTGTCTAGAGCCTTTGCAGCTTGTGGAAGGCCCCTTGCTGGTTGTAAGCACTTATTTTTGTGGGCCTATAGTGGAGCCCAGAGTCAGTGGGAAGGCGTAAAGTAGGAGGCGCCTGCAGAATGTAGGGAGGGGCTCAGAACAGCTGCTGAAGAATGGGTAATACAGTGGGTTCCCGGGTTCAAATACAGGGAAGGAGCTGTCAGGAAGGAGTGGGGCTCCTTCCCTGACAGTTCAGGAGGAGAAAGAGTTTCTAAAGTTTTGAGATGGGGGGGATATTTGCGAAAGGGAGGAGGGTTCATCAGCCTTTCTCAGATCAGTTTTACACTTGGGTTTGGATGTTGATGAGATCTGTTCAGTTTTAGTCTCTCTGCAGCTGTCGGGAGGTATGACCGGGTCACAAGAGACACAGCATAAACCACCTTGGCCTCTGCGTCTCAATATGCAGGGCTGAATGTCAGATGACTCTCACCTCAGGAAGCATTAAGTACATTAAAATATACTTTCCAGAACATTGAGGTCTCTACTTCTCCATGCCTTTAACTTACTTCGTTCCTTGATTTAATTTTTTCATTTGTCCCTTCACCATCTATCCGGATGTCACGGTCACTGTTACTCAGGGGTAATGACTAGGCACTTATTTCCAGTGTAGGTTTGTGTTGCTGTTTTCCCTGGAATTTCTTGGAGAAGAGTATGTGTGTTATTTGTGTTCATAAAAATCTGCAGCTAAGGGGCTTTCTTTTATCATAGTCCCAGGCACACGAGATTTTTCTATTATTCCAGTTTTGTCTTTTTCCTTATGTGTCTGATGTTTGCTCTGGTATCAGTCATGGCGTTTAT